TCTTGCTCTTGCTGCTGCTAGCATTGAACTAAAGACATTACACTTTGTAATAAACAAATATTTTCACAAAGATTATGAATTCAAATAAATGATTTGCAATATTTCGATGAGAGTTTTCCCCTTTTCTTCTCTTTCTCTCTCTCTCTCTCTCTCTCACCTATAATTTTAGTTATATTGATTGTCAGTGAAAACTAAGCGCGAACTTTTCCGGGACAAAATAAACAACATCCACGTCAGACTTTACATAATTGTATGCTCTTCTCCTATATACATCGATATAAACGATGGCGTTTTTTGATTGACGTAGTTATCAAAAATTATTTTTGTTTTAATTCGGTAACTCGGCGCGAAACGTGTGCGCTATGCTATATTATATATTGTTTCGTTCATTCAAACGGAAATACGAATACAAACAAATGCCTGTGAGGGCGCATAAATTATGATAGGAAATAACAAAATTAAAGTGCGTCCCTTTCGTTCAAGTTAAATAAATTGACAATCACATTAAGCTTTATATTTTATTAATTTTCTTTAAACGTAGCAAACGTAGCCTGCAAGACTCTAATGCACATTTTTTCAACTTTTAAAATTTAAATGCAAATATTTCAGGTCTCAACTGGAACATATTACAGTCTTGATAGAGGAAGAAGACAGCTCTAAACTCCCATTAATAGGACATAAATGAATCTTTGTTCTACCTTTTGATTAAATACAACAAAAGCAAACAACGGGCTTTAGAAAATCTTTCTTAATTCTAACTTATTTCTTCTTATGCCCTACACCACATTTATTACAAGAATACATTAAGTTTGTGCGGATGTATGAAACACCCAAAAAGACTTGAGATAGACACGGGTAAGCTTGTCTATCCGTCCCTCCCTCTTGTTTCCTTGTGTTCAATCTGAAGGCTGCGAATTTTTGATTTATTTACATTAATTATTACTGCTCTAATAATAATATAATTAAGCAAGCAATGTGCAAACATAATTATTTTATCTCAGTGCGAAAAAGATTACAAAGCTATTTGGAGAAATGCCGAAATTTAATAATAAAAACAAAGAATTGAAGAAAAATAATGAATGACGGCGAGCGTATCGATGTCCGTTTGTGTGAATTGTGCAAAATGTGTTCATAGTGTCAGAGAATTTTTAAGTAAGTCACTTGAAATAAAGAAAGTATGCTAAGTCACAGTGACGTTTATCTACCGTACATTATTGAAAAATTCCCCCAAATTATAAAAACTAAATTGATCGATCAATGAAACAGTAGGCGAGATTCCAAAATGATCGCAATTCGACCAAGACCATCAACCAAGCAAAAGACAAAAAATTGCATCTCATTGTCAAAATAGCAAACATTTCTTAAAAGCGATGGGAGCAAGCGCGACAACACAAGGTAAAAATTCTCTAAAAGCATCCTCACACCAGAAGGGTCAGTATTAAAAAGGTTCGATAGACATTGGAAAATTTTTCCTATCGCTGCATATCGATGAATATATTATTATTATTATAATTATTATTAATTTCGCTAGAGAAATAAATTCTAAGACTAAACTCTTAAAAGCACTATCATGTAAGGCTATCGGCTTTTATTAAAAACTCTACCGCACTTGAGAATCGAACCCACGACCATTGACTTGCTAGTCGAGATTCCTCGCCTTCGGCTGCTCAGGCGGGTCGATGAATGTAGCTTTCTTATTGTCTTTATTCTTATTATCTTTAGCGAGCACCGAAGGATGGAAATACAATCATTTTGTCTTCACATTTACAAAATTCAGAAAGAAATTTCAGACTTTCAAAAGTGTATATGTATTCTCGATCAGTAGAAAATTCTAAACCAACATAGGCATGTCAATCCACTGGTCTGCCTGTCTATCTGATTATCTGTCCGCCCGTTTGTCTGTCTAGGCATCTGCTTGCCTGTGTCTCTCTCTCTGTTCTCTGCCTATGTGTCCATCCATATAATGCCCATGACAAACATTCTTTCCCCCGTAAAAAATGAAGATATTGTACTCAAGTTGGGCTGGTATTGAAAATGCTTTAAGTGGACCGCAAGTCGTGGCCACAATATTAACATAAAATGGGGCAACCTTTGTTTTCTAAGTTTCTTTCTCATTACTTACAAATGACAATAGACATAGGGTAAAGATTACCACATGTAGTCCATAAAAAATTCATAAAAGTCAGCCACGCTTACATTTAGTTACTTCGTTTGTGTTTCTAGTCTTTTTTTATGATGAAGATAATGCGCATCAAAGATTCGGCCAAGTCGCTTATAATTTCTTGTTTGTTACTTACTCGGTTTGTTCAATTAAAATGAAATTTTGAGTGAAACAAGTTCCTTTAACGCGTCGGACTTGAGGATAACAAGCAACTTCGAGTCTTCGAGTGAATATATCCTTGTTATAGCCACCAATGAAGCATAAGAAAAAAGAAAACTCCGGAGAGCCCATAAAGTCAAGATTTGAACGACTATCGAATACAATTCAATCGCCTGTTTAGGCTTTAATTTGTAACGCATGTACAGCGACCACTGAAGAGCAAATGCATTAATATTTTCGTAACAATTTCATTTTAATCAAGCATTTACGCATATTTCCGATTGTACATATATATATTTATATATATACTGTTTGGTCTTAGGTGTAAAAAGTGAAATTATACTTTATGTAAGCATGTGGTGCACATATATTAAAATTTTTATATGCATGCAAGCGCATATGTGTACGCACTAGCGGCTGTTATCGATCAGTCGGAAACAATACGTACGTACGTTTATACGCAAATATGTATATATGTACAACCTAACACAAGTTTAATTGACTTTGGGCCATAAGGCTTTGTTGTGCCATGAAAACAGTAAACAAATCCCCTTGAACCATTAGTGAGTTTAATAACATTTTTTTTTTTTTTTGTATGCGTGTATGTGCGTATAGTGTTTTTTTTTTTGCTGTTTTTGTTTTTTTTTTTTGTTTTTGGTATAACTTATGCTCAAAGTTATACAGCAGTGCGGATGAGTATATATAGATATAAACATAGGCATACATATACATGTGCATATATAAACGTTGTAAGTCTATCTATCACTTGCTCTATCAATCAATTAAATGCATGAATGCACGTAACAACAACACATTGTTGAGGCCTGTTGGTAAACATATTCCGAACCTAACAACCGATTGAACAGGCGAATTATCATAACGAAAAACAAAGGACTTTCCAAACCATTTAAAAATTTGCTAAATACAATGCATGCCTATGTTAGTTGTGTGCGTATCTATATATGTATACGGATATATATACATATTGCCTACGTGCACATTTGCCCAAAATACAAAGTGAAATGTGGAAAACACGATACCGTAGCGTTACTACTTCAACATGACGTAACAAGGGGAATAAAAATAAAGACTTTACTCTACGCTTTAACTATATATATAAAAAAGAGAATGCAAATAAGTCACGAATATCGAAAAATAAAAGATATTTAAAATGAATATATGAACAAAATAAAAACTAAATTCGTCTTAAATCGAGAAACATTTCACGTAAGTTCCATGAACAAGTCATAACTGTTATCCGTTTGAAATGAAATGCACCAAGTGGTTTAACTTAATAAATAACTTTAAAGAGAAATCAATAAATGCTTTTGAGAGATAAGCTCAAGGAGAGATGCTCAAGATTATCGTTAGATTGCAAAATTTCTATTTGCTTAACATTTTATATTTCATTATCTTTTCGAAATATAGTTGAAGTACGGAGAGAACGTAGCCGACAAAAAGCCAACCTTCCGCTTCATTTCGCGCAAAAGCAACCAAGTAGATAAGAATCGCGACTACTAAGTTAGAAGTCGCGGATTCAAATCTCAGTGGTATAGGGTACATAATATTTGTAATTGTAGTGTGTACTCAGTCGATACAAACATAACATCTGCTTGTCAGTCTCTTTGTTCTTATTTATTTCTGAACAACATCTTGTTCGAGTAAAGGAGACATGCCCTGAGTGATTGATCATATTGAAAAAAGAAATCAAAAAAAAAAAAAAAAAAACCAAGTAGTGTACCCTATTCCTCGCTTAATACAGTTATTCACATACGCCAAAGTGGTCCATGGGCATCGGTATACCAAAATTTCATTAAAATATCGGCACAATTTCGGCGCTGCAAGTTGAAGAATACAATACGGGTAACCCGAAGGCTGGACAAACAAGCTTAACTCAATTCATAAAGTGACCTTGAATCTATCAGTATCATTAAAAGTGGGTCGACCTCAATTCCTTCTGGCTTTTGTATACATCAGCACAAAAATTGATATATCTTTGTACCACAACCAGTATAGGGTATAAAAAAGTTTAAAATATTATCAAGCATTGGTCAATGCAGTTTACTTATAGGCCTAAAAAAAAAAAAGCAAAGGAAACCTATACATTAGAGGACAAAAGTAATTCTTCTAATATATATATGTATATATATACATATTTCTTCTTCTTCTTATTAGAAGGTTATTGTGTTATTTTTCTTGGTAATGACACTAACTAACTAACTAATCTTTTCAGAAGGTATGAGTAATAACAACAACTTTTAGATCACGTCTTAACTAACATACAACTGCAACTAGTAAAAAAGTAAAGCCAATATTATGTAAGTAGTTTACCAGAATATATACAGGCACTCATCTGTACACACATACATACACACACATACACACACACACATACACGTCTATGATGTAATCAAACTTAAAGTCAACTATTTGTCATTTTCTTCGAACATGTTCTTTAGATAAGACACAACTACAAACGCGTTCGTCTCTATACGGAGAAGTAAACATCTACGTACGCACAAACTTATACACACATACGTAGTGGACTTACATTGGGATTAAAACTCTATTGCAGGAGCATTTTTATGTCTTAAGTTAATTCATGCGTCATGTGTGCTTTAATAATAACAAAAATTACACTAAAAGTTATTATATATGTGTATATAAAATCACGTAAATGTTCGTTCCAAGATTTTACAAAATATTCCATAAACTTTATTCCATAAAGTTTCTTTCAAATTTTTCATTTTAAACTTTTTGCAAGAAAAAAAAAAAAAAAAAAAAATTTACTTTATAAACTTCATAAAATAAATTCGAAAATCTTATTTATTAGCAGCCTGGCACATTTGTCAAAAGTAAACTTGCAACACTTAGAGCTATGATTGCCACGCTGCTCCTATAGCCAGCAATATTGGGCGCCGAGTTGCACAAATTGGTCGAGCAGTAGAAACAATTACTCCTGGACCAATAACTTCCGGCCGTGTTTAGCGTTAAATTGCAAGCCTTAGTTTCATCATAAATGCATCCGCGTATTTCCGTTGATATACCATTACCTAAAATGAACAAATATATATATATATATATATGAGACTTGGAGTTTAGAAATATTCATTTGTTTGGTATTCACGCTACTTACTTTGTGTGCTGTTAGTACGCAAGCACATATAGTTAGATGAAACGATATCGGGTACATTAAGAAAGTAAAGTTTTAATTCGTCACGTGTACGATTGGCGGCGGATTGATCACATTGAATAACTGATGGCGAAACGCAATTCGCAGGATTATTGCATTGATAGCATTCCTTTGTGAAAACTATAGTTCAAAAATATATGAAACATAAACGACGGCTAAATATTTTAATATTTTAGTAAAAATAGAAATGAGAAAAATGCCCACCTGTTGGTACACCTACTAAGCATATTAGTAATTGTAATAGATATATTATTTTCTGGGACATATTTGTGTTGTGTTGTGTTGTGAACTAGTATTTGCACTAAATTGTTCGAATTTGTTCATAATACTGAGGAAAATACTTTTGATTTTACATATTTATTGATTTGTAAACTACACAACGATATATATGCACAAATACATGCAACTGTACAACCATAAAATTTTTGTTTACATTCATCGCAATTTTTGAATGGTAAACTAATTTAAACATTTCACTGGCTACAGCCAGCAATAATGCACAATAGTCAATACGATGAGTATATCGTGAATAATGAGAATTTGTGTTTAGTTCTTCTTCTTCGTTCGGATTTTTATTCATTTTCTATCCAAGCATTAATTTAACCTACTCGGAGTCCGTCTATTCAGCCATAGCTGCTTTCTCTTTTCGATCGGGCCGGGCCTATAGGCGTTAAACGAAAGACCTTTCTAATTATTCGCCAGAAGAACTGCCCCTAGCTAATGAATAAGGGCATTGATAAGGCGACGGCAGGGGCCTCTTTCCATATTGGAGTACAAATTGTTGGCAAATTTGAGTATAGGAAGACCTGCACGAGAGCGGTCTTCATTCAAAATTCAGAAACAAAACCAATTAATCGAAGCAATATTACTGCAACAGGTCACCCTAAACATTCAAACTGCAATGCAAGTGTAAATAGTCATTCCAAACATATCCAAAATCCCGATGATTAATGTCCTAATAATCAAAGTCAAATTCTGATCCGTTCAGGTCTTGCTAATTAACTCTAATTTTTCGTAATAAAAATCATTTCATTCCTTTAACTATATGCCTGTACAAAGTACCCAGACAAGTCACACAGTTTTGCAAACGCTTCTAAAGCAAAAATATATAACGCAATATACACAGACAACACAACACATAGCCGAAAAAAACTTAATTAGTTATACATATGCGTCATGATTACGATATTGAAATTGTTTTTAGACTGACATACCAAACGCAGTGAATACATTGCACAGTGCATCATGCGAAATATTTCTTTTTATATCATTTTTTTACTCGGGCAATGCAATGCAATCTATATGTTCATGGGCGATCCAGGACTTAATGCAATTAAATTTCACTTTTTACTTTATCGTCAACAGGAATTGGAAATTCAGTCTATGTGTTCCCGCGTTGGATCAGTAAAGTGATCAATTCGTTGCTTTCAATTTTCGAATTTTGAGATGCATGTGATAGATATGGAAGTGATCCGAAAATTCGTTGTAAACTGATTAGAATATCTTTCTTGTTATTGTTTCTGGCTTTCTCGCCTCTGATAAGCAAAGTGCAATATAAATAAAATCAAATATATTACGTATCGCACTCGATTGAACATATGAGCAATAATATGAAGATTGGAGAACATTACTTCATACTAAAATTTTATTTCCCTGAAAGCAACTCTTAAATGAATATTTATTCGGTTAAACAAATATTAACTGTATTCTTGTTTACCTATGTTTTGATGCGCATTGACCCGGAGAAATGTGCTTTTGATAAAGCGACCGTAAAATTTTCGGAAAACTGTAAAAATTTCTTAATTTAGTGTGGATTAAGTTTTGCTAAGTAATGAGATTAATTGTGAGAAATGAACTTAAGTTATTTTACATATTAAAAGCAAGAAAAAATTATATTCAATTAGACGAAATTTTCTTCAATTCATCTACGCTTATAAACATACAAAATGCATTCTAAAGTATATGTACATGCACGCATACATAACTAGGACTTTTTCAGACCAAAACATTATAAAGCGCCCTCCATTAATGGCTGCCAGAATTATTCAGGCATGTTCTGAATCAGTGATGACAATTTAATATAATTTATTTAATTAATAATCAAATTTATAATATCGCCATTACCGGCAAAATACTCTATATAAAAACAACAACAATTGCTCTGCCAATTAACTTTTTGCCAAGAAACAGGACATCATTCCACCAATCTCACCAATAGTTACTATTAACAGCAACACTAGCGATAACAAGAATGGCAATAGAAACAACAACAACTACATTAACAACGGTAACAAGGACTTGTTACACTCAATAGCAACATCAAAATTCAACTGCGTAACAAAAGAGATTAAACAAAAAAAACAAAAACTACAATATTAGCTAACAATTTGTCTATGCTGCGTGACCTGCTGTCACCAATGGTGAGATAAAAATTGCGAAAGAAGAAAATTTTGTTCTTTAAGCACACATATCGCCACATTCGTCGTTGGCTTAGTTCATTTAATCTTAACTATAAAAATAAAGAAAATTTGTTTATATCAGCACCGTAAGCATGGCAACCGTATGCCCATATGTTATTATCGCGCCCCTAGATCTGGCCGTTAGCGCCTCGAATCATTTGAACTAACTCGACTACACACACTTGCAACATCTTCTAAGACAATGAGATCCGCACATTTGTTCTTCTTTTGTTCACCGAATTATAAGGCGAACGTATATGGAAAACTTGCAAAAATTGGTTGAATCATCACACCCTACACAAGGACGTATTAAATTAATGTGGATGTATGCGACACTCAGAATTACTTGGAATAGACTTATCTTATATAATACCGTACGACACGGAATCGTTTTCTGAGTCGACCTAAACTCGTCTGTCCATCTGTCCATCTTGTTTTTTTTTTTTATTTTCCACAGCAGCAGCACGTAATTTTTAAGATATTTTTATGAAATTTGGTGCACCGACGTGTGTTCCCCAAAGGACGAGCGCTATTGAAAATGGTTTCGAATCGGACCACTTTTTCCGCCACTTCCCATATAACACTTTGTTTTGAAGAAGCGTTGTACGAACAACTGAGCGAATTGATGTAAGGTGATCAACGATAGGCCCTGTTCCACTATAGCGGTTTTACTTGTTTTTACATAAAAGTGCCGTGAACCCATATCTAAAAAAGTGCCCTCTTTTATAAGCCTTAGCTTGATTTCGTCTACGTGGTATAGCATATTAGAATTTTTCTTTAAAAAATTGCTGATGTACTGCAAATCCTTTGTTAGTTTGATATTAAAAAAACAACTTTGAATGAAAAGCCAACAATAAGTTTTCTTATATGGTGGATTTTATTTTATAATTGGACAAAAAATGCAAGAAAAAGAATTGTAAGAAGAAGAAAGCAACATATTGATAGATTGAGAATGTGAAAATTAAATGGAAATAAAATGTATTGAATTGAAGAGAGTGTACTCTGCTATTATACTTTTTATTCTTCTTTTATGGATGTAATAGTTTCATTATTCAGGAATGCAATGTGAAAGTTGCCAGCAATCTATTGATCTATTTTGATTAACTGCAAAATGCTTTAGCGTTGCCTGAATTACATACATTTAGATACATTGTGCTAAAAGAGCCGATCAAGGAATTTTTCGCTTTCAAATTATATGCAGTAATCGCAAAAGCGAGGAATTTTTAGAAATCATATGCTAAAGGGATTGAAATTGAAAAACGCAAGAAAGATTGGTATCAGTCAACCTGCAATTGAAGAAGCTAGAGAAAAATGATTAGCGCCATCAGCTGTGCCAATATAGAAGAAAGAGGAAATAGTCATTTTATCGTTTGGAATACGAAGATTCTTAACTTGCCGCAATGCAACTTGCGTCAATGTGCATCGATGACAACGCTTAAACGCTTGCTAGGCAAAGACTACCTTCCCTGCTTAGCAAAAGTGAATGACTTTAATCAGAGTTATTATAAGGCTTTCAATGAGGATTAGAAGAGCAAAGCATTGTTCGACGTTTCGCTGCACATGAGATTTCACGATTAGGTCATTGAAACATATATATACGCTAATCTACTTACGTCTAAATAAAAGAGAAAATATATAGGCAGAACAATCCAATTGACAGATAAAATCATCAAGACATGGAGCAACTTTTTGTGAAAGCATGTCGCAACTTTTGGACAGGCGAAATTATCGTTAGTAAAATGGTTTATAAGTCTGCTTGAGGCAGCAAAATAATTGCGATTACAACGGAAGAGTGGAAATGCAAACACTAACTGCTTAAGAAAGCGAACAACAAACAACATTTAATCATCGCTTTAATATTGGATGCTTTTTTGAGATCTGAGAGCCGTATCAGTCTGCCCTATATTTCCGACTTACAAGTTTTGGCACGGGTCCACCTTGCAGTAAGAACCTTAAACCAATTTTTCTCTTGCCTAGTATGCATAGAGGCATTGCACTAATGGTAATAAGAGCGTCAAATAAAAGTTTAAATACGATGCCTTCCTTTTTGAAACTGGTACACGGATTTGTGCGAAGGGATGCAGACTGATATGCCTAAATCGATTTCGAACTTGATCTACTAATCAAGATTTATATTTTGTACGAGTTTTCTGAAGCTGCTTCTTCTTCTTCTGGGTGCTGCAAACGTTTTAGAAAAATAAATATATTTCCAAAACCATGGATGCCGCGTTTAAGCAGAGATGTTAAAAAAAATTTTTAAATGCTAAGTTTTCAAATAACGAACGTAAGTTAAACTGGATACAAAACTAGAGGTGAAATACCTTCTATGACGTTTTACTGAAAAGCTATGCTTTGCCATCTAAGTTTCTTACTGCAAATCCAGTTAATACGATACCTAGCATTGGACAATGCGAAAAACTATTTCAAATGATTCGTCATCAGAACAAGATATCAAGTTGAAATATTCACAGGAAAGCAAGGCAGCATTTCATATCTATGGTATGTCTCTATGTAACTTTATGCGAATTTACATTGAGATGACAAGATGTGACAGATATGCAGAAAGCTTTTACCTTTTATCCGGACAAACGTTAGTTTGCATGTATGCATGCGATTTATACATGTGTACGACGGTTTATCACTTGTTTTCGCACTTCGATACGAATCATATTAACTGTTTGTTGATATTAGCTTGTTTCGATGTTGTTGTTCACAACGTTAATATTCATGTCACGTATTCCTTAAAATGGCCAGTATTTTCAGTCTACATATTCGGTAAGCAACCAATCGGCAAAATCTTAATATCGCAACGTCATAGTGTTGCGGTAAGTACATAATGCATATGTAGATGTAAAATATCATCTTTCATTTCATCTTAACGAAACGAATATTAGTTTCGACATGCTCGTGTATCCATTAATTCGCAAAAAATGAATAAAAGTTTACGATTTCCTGGGAAAAAAAGAAAATCTCCCAGTCGGAAATGAAAAATTGCTTGCATATGCATCGTGTATTGCTGCAATGATGTAACAGATTAAACAATTCGAAAACATAACACGCATTCACTTCACTGCTGTAGGGAAATCGGATGGCACTTGAGAAACTATGATCAGTTTTTCGTTACAAAAACATTAAAGCAATGGATAAATTACTGAAAAGTCGTCATTTCTTTGAGTAAAGCCTAATTTATAGTTTGGTTTTGCAAAATAATAATATTTTAATATTTATTGTTAATTGCAGTACATGTTAAAATCTTGGCATTATCGAAATTGTACTAGCGTGAGCCCACTGTGCCAATAGGTGAGATATGGTCAGGCCTGGCTCACGTCTTTGCTATGATAGTAGTGATAATTGGGCGGCATTAAAACACCAAAACTGAACAAAGATAAAAAATATAAATATAAATAAAAAACTAAATTATGCTTTTTGTTGTAAAAAATGCGACCAAACATTTTTCCTTAGCGTTTACCCCAAAGTGTATATATATACAAAGCTGGAAAAGATTTATAGGTTCTAAAGTACATTGTAAGAAATGTTTGCAAATCCTGTATAAACGTTTCCCTTTCATAAGAGTCATTACACGGAATGTGCCCTAAAACAATAAACCAAATTTCCTGCAGATCATTTTTATATCAAATTGCTATGATGCCTCATTTTTCCCTGTAAAATGATAAAACTTCGATTTTTTTAGCAAATAAAAGCTTGCTTTTTATGGAAACAGTTATATGAACTAGGCCTCAAAAGATTGACTCATAGGATGTCGAAACATTGTAGGAGATGTAGTAGATTTTATCGTCAATATATTTCTGAATGAAAGACATGGGCAGACATCAGGCATATAAACAGATAAACTGAAATCTATTCAGAAAATGATTCTTAACAATATGTGGACATCTGTCTGAAGTAATAAAAGAAGAGAACAACAATAGAGTGTAGGGACAAGTGGTAGCTGATTTTTTAACATTTTCTGGACCCTTGTCTTTTTATATTCTTTTCATAATAATTTTCGAATTTTCGCAAAAGTAAAACAAAACTTAAAGTTATATTCAAATGTAGAGAAAACGTTGTATTTTCGTTTTCCGTTTCCTTTTCATAACATTGTTCAGAATTTTACTAGTGACAATCATTTAAAGCCAAAAGTTATACGAAAGTGTGAAGGTAACAAAAAAGCAACAACAAGAGCGAGGAAAATAAAAAAAAGCTTTTCTGGATTTACAGTAATTAATTTCCTTGATTTAGCATCTATTGAGGCGTAAACTCAATTGGCTTGTCTGCCCGTAGAGACATGGAAACATGAAAAATGGCCAAAAAGAAACTAACTAAAGTTAACAATTTCTAATGCTAATGAAGGTTTGTTCGCGATGTATAATGAAGAAATAGACTTTGAATTTCCAAACTATGGAAGAGCCAAAGATATAAATTAACTTATACGACAATAATGTCCGAAATATCCTTTTCAATGAAAATGAACTAAAAAAAACGACTAGCGGCGAGTGAGTTAAACTTCAACCAAACCTTCAAAGCAAATTCGTTCTTAAAGAGCAACGATTTCAAAAGACAAAATATGAAGACAAATACCCCACAAACTTCTAATGAAAATTCAGAACGTTTCGATTGGCACACTGCGATGTAAGTGACCTGATCAAAAAGTTCATATCGGACATACAAATCAGGTCCACTACTGAAAGCCATATTAGAAGCCCTGACAATAAAGATAAAGTATTCCTCACAACAAGTTTTAAGAATAGTTTCAGGGCAAAATCCATTTCATAGGCGACAAGATTCAATTACCGCACATTGTCTATTGATTTTATTATTTCTACATTAAAGCAATACTTTAATTTGGTAAGCACACAGGACAGCTGGCTATCCTAAGTTGACACATCAAATTTATATGTCCTATGACGTTGACATTTTTTCTTTATCGATTGCTATTGATTTGAAAGTGAGATATTGTTTTGTTTTTAAAGAAATAACGGCTTATGATTCTCTCAATGCACAACCTGTACCATGTGGTACATTTTTTGTGCAAAAACATTAACTCATAAGAGAATGAAATGAGCCTTATCTTGAGCCTTAGCTTGTTTTAACCTTTTTCCAACAGGCAAAGTGAACAACGTTCAACCAATTTTTTTCCCGCCCAACATTTTGTTCAATAGACAACAAACGAAGAAAATTATGATCATTTAAATTTAAAAAGAAGTAAAATATAGTGGGTCACGGCCCACTATTAAATACCTTACAGTTATTGATATAACAACCTCTTCATAATAAGGCGATATAACGGAAGCGATTGAAAAAAGGTTCGATCTGAACTATTTTCAATAGTAGTCCTTCTCGATAATTGTAAACTGTAGGTAGAACACAAGATGACAACGCAAAAACACAAACAACTGGACAGACGGACAGACAAGCTTAAACCGATTCAGAAAATGATTCCAAATCGATTATCTCCAAACGTTTTTTTTCATGTAAATGAGATTTAAGATAAACTTGAAAGTTTGCTTTGTTTTCGGCTTGACTTTTGGTATAAAGCTTTGCTAATATTTCACTGCAAAAGCAGAAGTAAAGCGTTTGTTTTATAAAAGAGATGATTAATCTAGGATGAACATGCCACATGGCCGCCCAGTTCCCACAAATTCGACGCCCAACTCACACAAATTGCACAAGTTCGCCGCCCAGTTCCCATAAGTTGACCGCCCAGTTCCCATAAGTTGACCGCCCAGATTCCACAATATAATAAGAGATGAATAATGCCTTTTTAATAATGAAATTGCGGATGATGTTAAAAAAATATTTTTTGTTTTTATGTTAGTCTCTTTTTCCTTCCAGCTGCAGTTTTGTGGAGGTAAAAGACGTTTTGCATTCATTACAAGCGCATTTATTATTAGAAAAAAAATCGTTTGAAATTTTTTGAAAAAATAAACTAATTAAAAAAAGCTTTTATGTCTAATTTAAAAATTGTTGTTGTTTTATTGGATGGTGTACTTGCTAAATAAAAGGCAATAATTTGAAGCGAACGTTATACGTGAATTGCAGATTCTAAGAATTAAAATGAATTAATGTGAAACGAATTGAAAAAATCAAAAATTACAACTCTGTGCACCACAGACACTTGTTTATCCTATTCAAAGATAAACATTTAATAAGATAAAAATGAAAGAAAACTAAGAACATATGATATTTAGCCAGTAAATAAATAGTAACATAACGGAATAGAATAATTCCCAAAAATTACTTTCAGAATGAAACAGGATTTACAACATCCAAAATAAAAACAATTATAATGTTGCATTTCCTTACATAGTTCGTACTCTTAATTATCTTTAATAGAATATAACTGCCGAAACTGTAAGCGCATTAATCCAAAAGACGGTCTATCAAACATTCCTGTTTACGAAAATTTAAAAAAAGAATTAAATAGAATAGAATAGAATAGTATAGTTAAAGTAAAAGCTTTAATTTTAGAAATTTCACTACATTTTTTCATTAATTGCATTTAAACTCAAATTAAATCTCTTTTTGGATTACTTAGTATTAGATTATTTCTCATACGAAATTACTGGTTTTTATTTTGCATATAGATTTTTTTCACTTATATGTTTTCTAGTATTTTTACAATTTAAAACAAAAAATATAAATTCACTGAAACAAGCTTTACACAATTTCTAAAATACTCTCAGCTTGCAACGCCAAGCTGAATGTTATAAAACTCGTTTGTATAGCTACAAAGTTCTATATACAATTTTCACAGCCGTTATTAGCTTTCTGCTTGCCTTCGGACTTAATTAGCGATTTTGCATCTCTATTATTTAACATTTAACATTTCAGCTGTCAGATTTCTACAATTTACTGAGAATAAAATTCTATTTCTCAGAGTAAAATTTACTTTGCTGTACATTTCTTATTTCTTATGAAGAGCAGCAAAAGCATATAGAGGAGTTGTTTAATTTATTTACATAACTACTACAATAAATAAGGAAAAAAACCAATAGTATTTTCAAATAATTTTAGAAAGTCAACAAAACGGATAAATTATAAGAAAATTCCGTCAAGTATTCTGTTGTTGTTTTATTTGTAAAAGAAAGAAATGAACACAAACTCCCAAAATTAGAAACGTTGAAAATTGAATAAAAAAGAAAGTCGGTTGCAAAATAGAATGAAAAAACTTTCATACTCCAAGAGCGAAATAAGAGAAGTGTTAAGAAATAAAATTAAAAACAAAGCAAAAAGAAGACGAAATTAATGCAATAGAAAAAAAAAAAGAAGTATTGGTGGTGGTGTGTGAAACAAGATCTGTCTTTTTTCGAAATCTGTGCAATTCGTTCACAGAGTTGAGTGAACGACAAAATTGACTATTTATGTTGGTTGTCCCCCTTTTTCATGAAAACAGTGGATACGCAAAATTCCAATCGAGAGGGTGTTGAAAGGAGTGACCTTTTCTAACCAAGTGGGAACTGTTATCAATAAATACGACAAATAAAAACCTGCTAAGTGCAAACGTAGCGAGAATAAGTGGCAAAAAGAAATTCATGTGAGATCAATAAGAGTAAACGTAAGAACGTAAGAAAATCGGCGATTGGAAGCACGTGAGGAGAGAACACGCAAATATTTGGACTCCTTTCCATACACACATAATTGGCTATTGTGTTTTTTTCTTAAAAAGGGGCTTAACGATAGCAAATTTCGTCTCGTCTCGACTTTACTCTTAGCTTTTTCATTTACTACCAAGTATTAGGTGCTGATGTTTACGGAAACCAATAAATCTGTCTCCTAAAAAAGCCAAATAACAGCAAAAGTTATTACAACGGCAGTAAAGGCAATTTGGACTATCGATACAATTTGCCCATCATGTCGTGGACAGAGGTAAGCGGAGTAATTGCTTGAAGTAATAACAAAAAAGAAAATATCAAGAGAAGAGATAAGGGTTTCGATCATTTGCCGCTTCTATTATATATGAGATCATCACGCGACTCATATTGTTTTGTTTGTTGTTTCTAATCTCACTCTATACATTTACTCCACTGTATGATTTACACCAAAAAAAATCTATAAAGTTTCAATAAATTGTTTAACTGATCAACTTCTACTTCATTTAAACAGCAAAAAGTGGATCCAGAACTAATATTTACGAAGCAAGAACGTATTGGGAAAGGATCATTTGGTGAGGTATTTAAGGGCGTGGACAATCGAAGTCAACAAGTACAATAAAATTTTTTTTTCATAGTAACAACTCATCTAACTTTTGTATTCGTTTGCAGGTAGTTGCTATTAAAATCATCGATTTAGAAGAGGCAGAAGATGAAATTGAAGACATTCAACAAGAAATTATGGTTTTGTCACAGTGTGACTCTCCTTTTGTCACCAAATATTATGGCTCTTTTCTTAAGGGTACCAAATTATGGATTATTATGGAGTACCTGGGCGGTGGTTCGGCTTTAGATCTTATGAAAGCTGGTTCTTTCGAAGAAATGCACATTGCCATTATACTACGTGAAGTTCTTAAGGGGCTAGATTATCTTCATTCGGAGCGTAAGCTTCATCGCGATATCAAGGCCGCAAACGTACTGCTCAGTGAGATGGGTGATGTCAAGTTAGCTGATTTTGGTGTTGCTGGACAATTGACTAACACCACTTCGAAGCGCAATACTTTTGTGGGCACTCCTTTTTGGATGGCCCCTGAAGTAATTAAACAATCGATGTACGACTCTAAGGCTGACATTTGGTCACTGGGCATAACTGCAATAGAACTGGCGAAAGGTGAGCCACCTAACTCTGAACTGCATCCTATGCGTGTTTTGTTCCTCATTCCTAAAAACAATCCACCACAGTTGACTGGAAACTACACAAAGTCATTCAAAGACTTTGTTGAAGCGTGCCTTAACAAGGATCCTGAAAATGTACGCGTTTTAATATAAGAGAAAAAATTATTGTTAAAACCATTTTTTTTTTCTATTTCAGCGTCCTACAGCGAAAGAATTACTTAAATATCCATTTATCAAGAAAGCTAAAAAAAATTCGTACCTTATTGATCTTATTGATCGTTATAAAAAATGGAAATTACAAAAAGGCGACGAGAGCGAGACAGAATCCGAGAATTCCGATAGGTGAGTACGCTTATTTAAAATTCTTTACATTTACCTGTTTTCTAATTCTAATGTAAATTCAGTGATGAATCGAAGCCTGGTTGCAATAATGATGAGCCATGGATAATGACAGTTAAAGGATTGCATGTAAATAGTGAAACTTCGAAAAGTGTTTCCGTGAATCATTTTAATCGTTTGGATGATCACGAATTAAAGATGGAAAAATTGGTTCAAAATATGGATGGTTTAGTGCCGATAACACATTCTGCTCATCACGCTACAAAACATCCGTCGAACACCTCGTCTAGTTCTCCAGCCGTATCTCATATACGAGAAAATATTTCACCAAGTTTCTCGGCGTCAGTCCCTACACCATCAAATTCATCTACACAATCAATGCCATCATCTGGTGCGACAGTAGTCTCATCTGCGTCGGCAGCAGCGGCATCTGCATCAACGCCTTCCCGTGATTCCAGTTATCATCACGCACATCAGCAATTAGCATTGGGACAAAAACATCAAACGCAACAGCAGCAGCATCACCAAGAAGTTTCTGCAAGCAATGTCGAATCGAAATCGACTGGTATTCAGTCCAACAGTTCCATTTCTAATTTTAAAGAGCAACCACAACAACCACAACAGAAAATTAGTTTGCGGCCAGCACGTACTACTTCTTTGGATGCAGATATCGAGAGACGTTCTTCGGTAATACATTGATCTAATCCTGTATAAATGTAATGTCGAGTAATTGTAAAATGTTTTCAATATGTAATTTTAGCTGCAATTACTTGATCATGGTAAAATTGAAGACGAGGAGAGAGCGCTGCGTCGCAGTACAATGACAGCGTCATCTTCTGCAGTAGCTGTGGCCTCGTCCAGTCATACACTAGCTTCCAGCAGTAGCTTGGGAAATGTTTACAACGGAGGCAATACGCACGTTTCTAATGAATTTATAAGCCCGGAGTTAGTGGCATCATCTTCTGCTTCGGCACTGAACACAACCAGTGCGAATCTTAAAATTGTTGGCGTTGGAAATCGTGCCATCATCCAAACCAATAGTTCGTGCTTAAATAACTTCATCTTTCCTGTTCTTTCTGATGTAAGAATTATATTATTCCGTTACTTGGAGACATTTCATAAATTTTGGTCGCTGTTTGTAGATTCAACGCAAATATAGCAATTCCAGTAAGAATTTGAACGTATTAGATATATCTGATTTAAAATCGGTATTCGAATTGGCTGAACGCAGCCGTCCTGGTGTCAGTGACTTGTTTCTCAAAGAAATCATTCACAAACTTGTACCCGGCTATTCAGAGACTCGTATCAACAATATCATTGATAGATCAATTAGGTAAAGCTCTGCTTTCATACTATTTGAAATTCGTTGTTGTTTATTCTCTTTGTTCTTTGTTGATTTTTTGATTTCAGACATAAAAAATAAAAAACTCCCTTTGATGCCAAAGTCTGGCTTTGTTACAGATTTTTGTGTTGTCTCCTCATTTCACCTCCAATTCCGATGTTTTTGTTTTTCTTGAATTAGATTCTTCTACACTGTATGTAATATTATATGTATATGTATTTGGTCAAAGAAATATTCAAATATATACAGACTAGATATAGAATATGTGCAAAACTGCGAACAGATGCAGTGAAATAGTAAACTTGAATATATATTTTTCATTATAGAATACAAGAATTTTATCCTCTTATGCAAGCTTAGGAAACAAATCGATTGTTTAAATAGTTGCCATTGAGTGAGTATAACATCATCCATCTTAGTGTTTCTCTGCTAAATACATTAGCGTAAAAAATGTGGGCGGGTTTACAAAAGGAATATCACTTTTTTGGAAGTTTATTTCGCTTGCAAAAATTTGTACAATATTTCAATGGATATATTTAATGAAGAATGCGATTAGACTAAGAGCCTTTCAATTTCCTGCTGAATAGACGTAATTTGTGATTTTAACTGTGAGCCCTCATTAGTTGTCACTGAACATGCAACGATTGGGCGGGATACTCCACAGGCACGACCGAGAGCTTGCTTGGAACGAACAAACACATACGGAACGTTTTTATCCTCGCACAATAGCGGCAAATGCAACAATATTTCAATTGGCTCCGTGTCGGCTGCCATTACAATAATATCAGCCAAACCTCGATTCAATGTTTTTGTCGCTTCGTTAGCTCCTTTACGAAGTTGGCTGTAATTCAGAGCTTGCTGCAGCAAGTTCATAATCTTTGCCGTTAATTGCGCATCGGCTAAAGGAAACGCTTTTGGATTTATTTCTTCAGACTATAATTGCAAAAATTTAATTAAGATTTTACGGCATTTTCATTAGCATATACATACCATTATTATTATCCTCTCGGCTTGCTGCGTCACTGAGGTTTACAAATTTATGTTTATATGCGTCTGCCTCTTCACACGTGCTTTAATAATTTCAAGTCATATCCAACAATTTCCATAAAAGTGGACAGTGCTGCCAAATTTACGACCCCAGTTAATTTTGGAATACCATTTAGAACTGCAAATTAGAGTTTCCCAGTTTTATTGAACAGAGAATTTTTAAAGCATTTCAGAATAAAACATTTTACAATAAAATATTTTAAAAGTAAGATGGGTACAAACTTGGATTCAAATATATTTCATTTAAAAAACCGACAAAAAATAAAGCTTCTAACTGTAACACCGACAAATTTATATTTTTGCTCCGAAGCATTACGTAAAGTAAATTCTAACTTAAAATGTGAACGAAAGGGACAGTTTGAATTTGTAAAACGGAGAAAAGGCTTAAGCGGTGTACAGAAAGGACGCGTTTGCAGCCTGTATTGCTGTGGTGATGCTATGAAAATCCATTAAGTTATGACCTTGAAGTGATAAACGAAACAACAACATTAGTAGCTGCAGTTGCCAATGTATTACTATCTAATATACTCCATCCTATATCATTTGAAGAATAATCTAAATTTTGATTTTTGCCACTACGCATGCTGCATACCTCTCTATGCATTATATAAGTTGGACGTTCTGGGCATTACTGAAGATGTGATTAGATTTTATTTACATAGATTTCCACAAAGCGCCAGGATAACAAGATGAAGAGTTTTTTTTTTGAGAGTTGGATTATTTTCAGCAAAAAACAATTGTAGTTTCTTTTCGTAAGTTAGTAAACATTTACATTATAATATGTACACAAACAGAAACGAATTCGTAATATGTCACCTCATCGTACCACAATCGAATCTTAAGTTGCATTAAATGTTAATTTTATAAATTTGTCTTATGTCTTAAAACCTATGCAATCTAATATACATATATTTAAATGCATATAAACAAGCGCGACCAAATCATATTTTCATATTCGAATACATGATGCACGGTGCAAATACGTTTATCCTAGTTAGGGCTTTGACGGCAATTACACGCAAACACTGCAAATGTAGGCACTTTCACAGCAAATGCATATATACCGCAAAACTGTTTCATATACTAAATTGAATTCAGTTTGCAAAAACAACCGGATCTACCATCTTATTGCGGAAGAAATAACATTAGGCAAAAAACGCCCTTCAAAATAAAGTTGCTTTTTGTTGCAAAGTGTCTCTGTTCTCTCTATATGAAAGAAAAGAAAAAACATTGGTTCACATGGTAAGGTATGTTGAAGGGCTACGTTGAAATAGCAACCCTGAACAAACTCAGATGTGAAAGCTGTTGCGATCATAAGTGCACTTTGAAAATGAGCGAATAACAGCTGTTAGGAAAATATTTTTGAATTCTAACGCATTTGTTTGATTTTTAATGTTTGGTTTTTTGTCAATACGGATTTAGCTAAACTGAGTTCTTTCTATCCTTACACGAAAACTATTAAATGTATTTTTGCAGTTTACAGTCAATTAAAAACTCCCTCATTTCTATGGCAATACTTTAACTTGTAACTTAAAAAATCTGATTAATAATGTTTGGCCGACATATTTGCAAATAATAATATTTTATCTTCTATGGTATAAACGATTATATTAACTTAAGGTCTTACCACAATGAAGCGTTACTATGTTTTTGCGTTTAGAAGATGGGAAAGAAGATCGACATCAAAACTTGATTTTTGCCAAAGGAACATATGAAATTAAAGCAAATAAAACGGTACTTTTTTTAAGCTGAGCGTTTTCTCCTTTAAACATTTCTCTTTAAAAGTCCAAAGGAAAATAGAAAAATAAATATTCTTACGGGGAAGGAAATTAGATGAAATTTTTAAAAATTGTGCAAATGGGGTTAATATGGTTAAATGAATATCATTGCAATATAAGAAAGTGTAATATGAAGGAAAGCATGAAGTCCCCTCCGTGTATATAAACCGAATAAGGAGATTATGTTTGCCTGGTGGACAATCTTCATCACCCGTCGGCTAAACCAAACACATAACATTGTATTTGGTCTTGGATCAGTGTTTTTCGAAATTTTTTGCACCCTCTCCGCACTTTTAATTGCAGCTCTAGATGATCTTGATAAATATGTACATTGAGTTTCACACATGTGTTTGTTATGAATTAAATGCTATATGTTGAGAATTTTCTAGGCCAACTAAGCATGAATGTGTTAAATGACAATTCTTTTCCTTAATATTTGCGACCGTGATCGTTCCAATAGGGTAGATAGACTGATGTAATTGCATGTAGGTTCAGAATCTTGCGTCAATCGAGAATTTTCTGTAATGTGGAAGCTATTAACAGCGATAGAGTTTCATGTCAACGTTTTCGTGTTACAGACTGCTGTCACTAGAAGAATTGTTAGCTTAAGAAAGTAACAAAAAGGAGCAAGCGGATATCATTAATGAAGTGCAGAAAGTGAAGCTATAGGATGGGTCCTTAAAATGCTATTGGTGATTTGAAGAAAACCCAATGGGCACTTGACTCGCAATAAATTGCAATAGGTTTCAAGTCTCGCGGCATACTTAAAAGCCTATATTCAGGGAATGAGAATGAATGGTTTAGCAATTCGAGCAGTTTTGTTTAGAATAACACGCACGTTCCATGGAATGCCATGTTTTCATTGTGTGCGTCACAGCATGCAAAGCCATTGTGTTGTTCTAAACAGTTTCCAACGAGTGCTGCACCAGAGCATAGGCAGGACCGTCGATCCGATCGAGGTAATTAAGGTTAAAGCTTTACGGGGATCATTCCCGTTTTATCATTCACATTATTATGGGAAACAGGAAAGGAAAATAATAAAAAGCGAAATGAACCGGAAGGTAATTTAAATGAAATCGTCGCACTAACTCTTGCATATAATAAACGTTGTAGCGATGCGTTCTGCTTTATATCGTTTGTTAATTATTGCTTACGTGATTCTCCTTCAATTAATATCCTAAATCATAAATCCCTATACAAAAATATGTATTGGCCACAAGCACTAGATCAAAAGTCTATATAAGTTAAATGCAATAACGCTCTCCTTTTTTTTGCGTGTTGTTTTTGGTCCCTTGTTCGAATATATGTATTTAGTATCGGTTGTGAATGTAAAAAAAATGCAGTAAAAAATACTTGACAGTATTGCATGTTGAAATCAGATAGATAAAAGTAAGTTTGCCGTGATATTGCAAGTATGGAAGAACTGTCCAGATACAGATGCATTACATCCATTGTATAATATATCTAAAAACAACATATAACATAGCATAAGTGGTGACGAGCTTTATTCAGTATAATATTCAAGTGTGCTATTAGTTGAACTGCTTCACTGTTCAACTCAACGTGACCGCTCAAAGAGAAGAAGTATTGATATCCTGTTCAAAATTTTAAGGAATTCATAGATGCCTGCGCTTTAATAGAGAATTTTTTACATTTCATACGGTGCGTGCGATTCATTAAAGATACATATATCATTTTGAAAGATTTCTGAGCAAGCGAATAATTCGAATATTGAAAATTGATGTAGGTTCTCTTTAGGATAAAGATAGAATAGCCAGCGCAAGTAGTCACGTACTTTATATGAGTCAAATCTGTCTGTAAACATGTCAATAGAAAGAAAATAAATATCACGGATATAGGATGACACATAGCATAAATACATTTGCATATTACGGTAATAAACTAGAAACAAAAAAAAAACAAAAAAAAAAAGAACAAACAATAACAATAAAATCTTTTAAAGTCAAACATACAAACTTCTAAAACGCATTAACCGACCGAATTAATGTTTGTTTGTACGAATAGTCCTCTAAATTATTCTCAAGCCCTCAAACGTTAGGTGAAAAATAAAAAAAAAAAAAAAAAAAAACAATAACAGGATAACAACAAAGCACATCTTTTAGTCAGGAAGCGCACGCTTTTTGTTTTGTGATTTATTGTACACAAATTAACACAAATGAAATCACAAAGACGAAAAAACGACAAACAGGCATACACAAAATGAATCCTCTTTCAAATCATGCTTCGAGTGTGTTAAGCGTGTGTACCTAGTATCACTTACCTAGCATTACAAAGTAGACATACAAACAGCAATGCTTTGCTTTAATGCGTTAAATATTTAAATAATAATTTGCATATAATATCAAGTTCCTTCATACACATGTATACATATACATATGCATATGAGTGAAGAGTTTTACCTTCTTGGCCTTAATAGTATTTACAAAAAAAAAAAAAAAAAAAAAAAGAGCAATAATTATAAATGCAATACGATGAGTTCGACTTCGAGAAAGCATTGCGAAACGATGCGCATGTACTTTTTAGAAATGGGCGTTAGATTGGCTCGAAATGAATACATATATGTTAGGTATCGATGCAACGTTTTAAGGGTTAAAAGCGAAAAGCGAAAAGCGAAAACCGAAAAGTGGAAAAAAAAGAATACAAACATGCTAATCATTCATACTCTCATAGCTTACCCCTTGTATATTGTTTGGGATAAACTCCTGCATTTTTAAATAACTATTATTAATCTGTTTATAGTGTGTAAGCCTTTTTTTGAAAGGATGAATTTTTGCGGCGATTTTATGGTGCGCATACTTGTCTACATGGAGACAAAAATGTCACAATAAATTTATAATTGGATTAAAAAATTGCTTATGCATTTGATTTGCGGGTAATTCAAAAAAATTCGTAAATCGTTGACACAACATCTCATTTAACGGATACAAAATGTTAAGTATATACCTGAGCAAATTATATAAAAAACTGAAAAGCATATAAGGGCGAGAGAACGCATGCAATACGCATGCAATTCATTATAGCATTTTTCATACTTATTGCAATCAGTTTATTTACTATAGCTTTTGTAGTTCTCCAATTATTGAACCTAAAAAAAATTTGTTCAGTAAAAATGTGACATTTCGAGAAAGTTATGAGCGGGATAATTGAACTTTCTTTGTCATTTTTTTTCCCATTCTCAATACAATGAGAAAATATTTTGGATTAATATACATAATGATAAACAACTTATCGATATACAATTTATTGCTCTACGCTGCTTCCTTAAGTAGCTAATCCTTTTGCGATTTTGATTTTAGATATCTTAGATATCACAAATTTTCAATCTAAGTATTATTATTATTATTATTATTATTATAAATTTAGCCAGAGAATAAATTCTAAGACTAAAGTCTTAAAGCACCAGCATCTAGGGCTATCGGCTTTTATTAAAAAACTCTACCGCACTTGAGGTTTGAACCCACGACTATTGAGTTGCTAGTCGAGACTCTTGCCTACTCGGCCACTCAGGCGGATTCAATCTAAGTAAATTGATAATTTTCAAATGTTTTACTTTTGGGTGTACGAAAAGGAGCGAATAACAGTACCAGGTGAAGTGGTGTAGTATAGTATGCAATACTTGGCCTTGCCTGACTATAATGCTCTTACTTGTTACCTTATGAATGATTGTATAAGAGAAGGTTGAAAAAATCATATTTAGAATGTGCAAACACTATTACAGAACGAGTTTTGTCGAGAAATTTTGAAAATTGCAATTTTCCTCCATACAATAATGGCTTTTCAAAACAGGGCGTTACATGGGAAGTGGTGGAAGAAGTGGATCAATTCAAAACGCCGTTTTGTAACGTGGCCTTTGGCTTCACGTAAGGTGAGATCAATTTTGTTTTCAAAATTTAAATATGGGATTTTTTGAACGTTGCTTATCAACTTCAACAACGTGTTGAACGGTATAAATTTTCACGTATATTCCTATGCTACCTGTAGAAAAATTTAAAAAAGCGGCTACGCCCACTTAATGTTAGTGGATTTGAAAATTTAATTTTTTTCCATCTTCCTTTTTTTTTTAAGGGAAAGATGGTGGGTATAAACAATTCGTTCATAGTCGAATATAATTTTCTTACTTGTTTCTTTTTAACCTTTGTTTATACTTTTATATATAGATATCTGGTTTAATCTTTTTCTTTTTAATTAACCTTATGTTGTAACTTCAATATGAAGCCTATAATTTTATATTGCTTAATTCAGCTAAGGCTTCATTGGGGCTGAATTGTATATATATTTGAAAAAATAAGTGAATAAATTCGAGAATTGTAGGGTTGTCGTTCGTCGCCTTACGATCTAGAAATGTTCTTAGAGCAGTGAAGCACATCACTGTTAAATTCTGATTCGCATTAGTCTCCCAAACTGTTCGCTCAGTAAGTTCGTAGGATGCGATAAATGCCGCCACTATTGACGAATATTGCGAAATAGTATCAACCTTTAAGCAAAATATGTCAAAATTTCATGACATTCCGCCTTTTGGTCTACGCGTTACGCTTTTTTTTTTGTGAAATGATGGAAAAATATGAATTTCGTGTTGAGACTGTGGCTGTGTGCAGCACCAAGAAGGATTTGGTGTAGACTCACCTTTTAATGTGTCAATAGATGCAGAATCATTTTCCGAATTGATTTAAGGCTATCTGTCTGTTTCCTTTTTTTTTGGTCTGGCCCATTTTTATTTTCACTGTAAAGGCCATAAACTGATAAAGTATGGTGTACTAGTATATCTTGGCACAAAGACAAAGCCTACTAAAAATTGTCCACCATATAAATCTTCATTTCGATATATATGGATTCGTCAGTAGTCGTCCAACATCTGCATGTCATCCTACAAACTTATTGAATGAGATGTTACAGAATAAAGACAGCAAAGATAATCTTGTATTTCTTACGTACATTACCGCAAGCGAGGTTATTTTATCAAAGTCAGAAATATTGACTATCAAGTTCATTTTTCCCCGGGTCGTTCGGAAAAAATAATTGTACAAATTATGTTTGGAGAGCCATGTAACTCATCAATAACAACGTCAATAAAAAATACTAACTGGAAAATTGGAAACACCTAGGATAAGATTTCAGTGTATTTTCTTTAACAACTTCTGACCTAAATTCGCTATTTACAAATTGCATAAATAGTTCCATGTGCACAAAGGGATTGTTTATGTTTTACACCAAAGATGTTTATGTTTTATGCCTCTATTAACTGGTAGGTAACCGGTAGGTTCTTTGAATTTTTTTTATAGATTTGGAACGAATATTGTTTGTCAAATTCAGATAACATTTGAATATTCACCGGGGATGATATTATTTAAAAACAAGTGCGAAATATGTAGAAAAATGCAAAGAAAAAGTTTTTATTTCATAATAAAGTAGAAACATATCGGATAAAATGCATTTAACAGTGATGTGAAAAAACTTTCGTTAACATTGGAAATTGACTAGACTACATCGAAAAGTACACATACATATGCACGTGTTCTTCTACTTAATTAATAAAATTAAAATAATTTTTAGAAAAAGGCGTCATTAATTCTATGAGAAGAAGAAGAAATGAGATATTGTCAAATAAAACGTTAAAAACTTGTGTATCATTGTGATCATAACATAATGTTTTACATATGTAATTTTGGTTAAGTGAATGCAATACATTATAAAAAAAATGATGAGAAACTTTATAAAAGATATTCTTAAACAAGAAATTTTACAACCAATATAAGCACTTAAATAAGTAATAATTAAATGTGTTAATAAACCCCTGTAGGCAGCGTCATCGCTTGATTTTGTTGCATTAAAGGGTGGAGAGTTTCATTTGCGTTATCGCCATAAATTAATGGTGATGTGTTCATTTGTATGTTCCAGGCATCCCCGCCATTACTGTAGTAAAAATCAACATCTCTACCTGCTGTGGGATCCGATGACGCTATAGCGTGATTCAGCTCAGATTGATTTGACGCACTCTCAGGAAAATGCGAGCTATGAGTAGGTATCGCTTGATAATTCGCTGTTCCATTTTCAAACATTGGTAAGGCTTGATTAGAGTCGAAATTGCTGCAATACATGTCGTTTTCGGATGACAAAGAGGTTGTATAGTACGAATTATTCGAATTTTGGGCCCCCACGGATACTGTTGTCGGTAAAGAGTCGCCTTGATTGGCTTCGAAATTATTGAAGGCGGTAGGCAAGTAAGCAGGGAAATAATAATCATCCGAATTATAGCCGGAACTGCTAGTTAAACTCGAGTTGTCATCACAATTTTCTGAAGACCACTTATGCGAATCATGATTTGTGAAATTTGGCAAATTTGTCGCCGAAGCTGTATGCTGATCGCAGACAGCATTGTAATTCATCGATGACGAATTATTTACCGCATAATTTTGCGGGTGTCTGAATGTTGGCTGCGCGAGTGATGGGTTCATTATTACATTGGGATGATTTTGTATACACGGCATTTGGTCCATTGTAGTATTAATAGAGCATCCAAAATCTGCAAGTCCTGCACTAGAAGTAGGGTATTCTTCCAAATTGTTTACCGCCATCCATTCGGGATTAACCACATTGTTGTTATTAAGTTTTTGAGAAATATTCGCATAGGAGGCAGACATACCCACCGTGCTTGGGCTATTTTGCAATCCCAAGGGATAGTCACTTTTTAAAGAACGATTGCAACTTTCACTGTTGTTTTTCAAGTTTTTCCTTTGGTTTTTGCAAGTCTTTAAGCTATTTAGTTTTTCATTAAGAGCAGCGTCTCTAGCTAAGAGGACTGCCAAACTGCGAACACGGCGACCGGTTCCCAGTAGGCGACGGGCTTCTGAGGAGCCCTTAGCTTCAGGTCTGGGGTGATCATGAGTACCCTTGGCTTGGAAAAATATAGAATTACCGGAACGACGCCAAAAATGTGTAACAGGATATCCACAATGTCCACGACACGGTTGAATTTCCAAGCGACCCGAGCAATTTCTAGAAAATCAAGTTAATATCGATTTTTAATCAAAAGCTTTTACTGATTCACCCGAATTAGTTTTGATAGCGATAGTTTTGATTGGGAGCGAAAACACATGAAATTGAAGAGAATGCGGATTCGCCCTATTGAGGTAGCTTTCAATGGACTTACCTGTTCGGACATGGTTTTCCTTGTTGTTTACGTCTGGCCTTATCGCAGATGGCGGGTCTTAAGTTAACATTATTACCATTGGGTAACTTGCATTTATCGGAACATAACAAGACACCAAGACAACTTTTTTTCAGTATGTTAATATTATGGTTGTTGGTGTTCCTCATTGCCCAACCTGATGAATGTTTTCTAGCATCTTCATTATTAGCGGAATACACAAGGCGACAATGGCCATTGGCCCAATCTTGGAAGTCGTCATATTCGGTGACATGTGGAACTACACTATCATTAATATCCCAATCGATTTGCACGCGAGATATATGCACCGGCGAACAGTTATTGCGAATTGGTAAATTTATTGAAGTTTGAACGACCATTTTCACTGATCGCTCTTATATATATATATGTATGTAAATTATTTCGTAATTGTTATTACCCGGTACGTATGTGTTTATGGAGAAATAATGTATTAAAACACACACGCACACATGCACATACACGCACAAATATATGATTATATTGTATACATTTAATTTCGCAATCTATATAGAAATTTCACCATACACGTCCATCCAGAACGACTGCGCACTGTTAACTGACTTTACTCTGTTAATGTTTATAAGCATAAAGTCTAACTGCCTTCCTTTTAACCAAAGCATATAGAAATAGCGAAAAACAAAAAGTAGGGTTGATTTACTCACACATATATACGAATGAATGTAAACGAGTAACTTGTACACTTATGTGTATGGCAAGGAACGTTTGTTGATTGGTCAATGCAATCCAGTTAAAGTTATCCGAATAGTCATCGAAATGAAATTTAAAACAAATTTATCCGAAAGTGCATTTCTGCATTTGGGTCGGTTTGCTCGCACAAACAACTGCCTATAGTTACATGTAGATGATACGTTTATGTGTATAAATTTGAATTAAATTGATTCTGCAAATTTCCTTTTTCACTTTATTATTATTATTTCAAATATATTTATTTGTTATATTTATTGACCTCTTGCAGTCGAAAATACATTGTAATTATTTCACTTCCCCATGTTTAATATCGTCTCCTCGCGTAGATTACGCACGCACACACAAACGCATCTAGGTAAATGTATTTTCAAAATTATACATATATATCTTATATGTATTATTCAGAGATTGGAGGCATATTAATTTTGTCAGTTTCCTCTTGATCAAAGATATCGCAAGCGATGCTTCTGATCAAAGTGAATTAATGTAGGTCCTGGTGTTCAAGCTATAGTCACTTGGGATTTAAACTAGTAGGTTGATGCATACTTATCAAGAGGTTTTAGACGAAGCGTTCGCTTCGTTTAAGCATCTCGGTCAAAATTCGGACATGTTCGGATTAATTAGTGTCGCTGAATTCGTGGAGGACCTATCCAGCCAATCTCCGCACCCTTCTAAGTTTTTTGAAATGACGAACGGTGCTTGAATAGTTCGCATTGAAGTTGTCGGCCAGCATTCGTGTGGTGAAGCTTTCGTCCCTTTCCACGTTTGCCAAAAGTGACTGGTCGACGGAATACGATGGTGGACCTCTTCTTTAATTATCTTCCAAACTAGTGTCGCCAGATTTGAAACGGGGAATATATTCTCTGCCTTGACTTTCGCTGATTGTGCCCTCACCGAAAAGTTCGTTGAGATCGCGAAATGACTGACCTGCTTTCTGTCCTTTCTTAAAGTGGCGCAGCATAATGAGATGAATATGAGTATGATAATCGACACGTATTTGTCTAACCTAAAGGTGAAAGGATACTTTCGTTCATAAATATATAAAATATTATACATTTTTATTAAAATATAGCACGTCAGAGAAACGCCTCATAATTACGTACCAACTCAATATGTATGTAAATACGATGGAATATGAATTTTATTAAATTCAACGTTACTCGTTTATTATTCTATGCGTTGTAAAGTGCATTAAAGCACCATTGAAAGAGCAGAATAAGCTTATAACTGCTTATTATATTCCTTGAAGAACGTCAAGTAGTATTGTAAAATATTCACATACATTCAGTTATAGCACAGATGCAATCTGGACGCGATTTACTCATAAAGCAAACAAAACAACACGCAAACGTTGATTTGTGTCGCTTGCGTAAAATTTGCAAACTTTAGAAAATTTTGTTTAAAAAAAAGTAGTAAGTAAAACAATCAAATTGATGAACGAATGAGGTGGAGATAGAAATTTGGGGTAAAGAAAGTTAATCATTATATGGGAAAACTATAATATTTATTAAGTTCGCGAAATCTTTGATTGTGTTACGTAAATTTTATTTTAATCTGAATTAAACGAGTAAAGCCTATAGTGGAACAGGGCCCACAACCACATTTACTACAATTATTCATATAATGTCTTTACAAAATAAGGCCTCATATTGAAAGTGAACGAAAAAGTGGATCGATCCGAACTAATTTCAATAGCGTTCGTCTTTGAGACAAAACATGTTGATATACTAAAATTAATCGAAATATCTCGACAATTTGCGACCTGTAGGTTGAAGAAAACAAGATGGACAGAGGGACAGACAACTGGCAGAAATGATTTGAAAAGCGGTTTTATGTTTGCATTCGTTGAAGCAGTACGTAGTGTTTTTACGTTCTCACTTAACGATCCAAATGATATTTCGGTGCAATGTCGTACATACATGTACCATTGATATATAGTTTACACTCTTCTCATTCCGATCGAGCCTTCTGTTACTTTGCTTGACTTTGAAAATCCTTTAACCGCAATTTGGGTTTTTTTCCTAGGTATACCTTACATAACAAATGATAACAAATTTTAAGATTGTTTACAAAGTTACAAAGTTAGTTTCCAACTTCTTAAGGGAGATAGGTAATCTTTTACAAATTACAGACCACATATGACAATAACTTGTGAATGGCTAAAAGAGCTGATTTTAATTCTGGAGATTTGTGTCAAAGCAGAATAGATGAGTTACTTTTGATACCCTATACCATTTGTGGTGTAAGAATATATTAAGTTTGTTCGGTTGTATGCAACACCCCCACGGACTTGAGATAGACGCACCGTTTATTATGCCGATCGATTCGCAATATCAATCTAAGGTAGTCTGTTCGTATGTATATATCGCCTACAGGCCGCAATTTTTAAGATATTTTACCAAAATTTCCTATATGAACTTGCTTTGGTCCAAGGACAAACGCTATTGAAAATGATTCCAATCGGATCACCTCCCTTATTTTGAAAAGTCGTTGACTGTGTGGTAGCGTAGGGTATTTAATTTATTTAATTGTGGACTGTGGCCCACCATAATCTCTTTACCTGTTAGAGACTATTTTGATCATCAAGTCTTTGGCTTCTAGTTTTTCTTAATACCTTTTCTAATAAACGTTGATTCGTTATGTTGTTGGTGTCCGCAAAAGACAAAGAGGGGAATGTACTATTCTTATCTATTGTCTTGAATCTATTGTTTATTTGACTTCTAGTCCTATACTAGCTTTAGACTAAATTATGAAAACCTTCCGCATCATAGATATACGAGCAACAAATTTTGTATTCAGCGTGGAGCGTATTTTTTAATAATATTATTTATTCATTTATTTGTAATTAAAAAATCGACCAATGCCACGAATATCGATCTGTTCCAAATATTTCTTAAGATCAGCTAAAGATCAGCGAAAATGCTATCGAATATTTTGTAACTCTAACGTATTAGTGTGAGCTGAAAAATAACACAGATGTGGTGATTCAGTGTACGCTGATTTGAAATTATTTCTTATTCGTTTTTATTGTTCGACCAACCACTCAGGGAATGTCCGCTATTCACGTAATACAGTGTCGGTCGGAAAGAAGTGATGACAGAAATAGAGAAATGGCCGCAGCCTAGTGGATATGTGGACAATAGGTAAAGGTAATGGTTATGCCTTCACCGACTGAACACTGACTATAACTACGACCAGATTGAACTCTACAGCATTAATACTTGAATCCGGCAGCACAGTCTTTGGATTCGCGATTCTTACCTACTCCGCCAGTTAACGGGATTTCTCTATTTCTCAAAGTCTCAAAGCGACTAACAGCTCGGTGGTCGCGGATTTAAATGTTAGTTACAGTGGACACTCAGTGGGCAGCGGTATAAAACACTAACCGTTTGGGCATGTACTCATTCCCTATCTTTTTCCCTTTCCCCATTTCTTTCTAACCATATTTCGATAGAAAAGATATGAGAAAAAGCATATTTTTCTCGATCTCATTTCCGAATAAAGACATATAAATAAGCATAAGAAGAAGAAGAATTATGAAGGTCGGGAAAGTTTAAAATTTTGAATATTTGTTCGCCAAGAACAACTAGCGAAAGTTGCAGTATAATATGTATATGGGTACGATCTTTCGAGGAAAGAAATAGACTCTTGCAGTGGTGGTCGTTCACAATTAGTGATAAGGCAAGTAAAACTCTTTATCTATCATGCTTAAAACCGCTTTCTGTATAAAAGTTTTTATAAAAAAAGTATTGAACCTTCAGATGGTTGCATATCCATATAATAAGTTTTTCTCACCATTTTTTGAATAAATCAGTAGATACGATCTTACATCGTTAATATGCCAAGTTTCACCCCTTTTTTTTTTTTTTTTAATAGAAAATAAAAATGGTTTCACATAAAAGATTTTCAAAAAGTCAAGGTGTTGAAAATGTCACCTAAATACAAATATAGCATTATAAGAATGTTACCAGAGTGCTGATAAAGACATTGACGATTGGAATCAGTTAAGAAATATATAATTGTTTAACGAAGAATGAATGAGACTTAAAGACCTATAATTATGACAACAAAACGTAAAAAAAAAAAAAAAAAAAAACAAAAACAAAAACACATCAGCTCTGGGTATTGAATATCTTAAAAGCATATAAAAATGTTTCTGTGTGTATATGCGCTTGTGTGCACGTAAACGCGTACATACATCTAATGACGGTGTATCCCACAAACTTACTCCAGTAAAGCAGAGGAAAAGATCTTTTGTTATGATTAAAGATAACAAATATTTTTGTTTACTGATGCTGCAGATATTTGTGTATATATATATATATATATAGGTATAGAAGGATTGAAAGAAAAATAAGAAAGAGGTGTGAAGAACAAAACAGAGGAACAAATAAGGGTGAATTCGTCTAAAGTAATTCACGACAATTCAAGAGTTCTTTCTGCAAACGAAGGCAAAGTGGGAGTGGTAGCTCCTTTTTAATTGCACAATAGTAAAACATAAGTCAAGTCAAGTATTTCCGTGATGCGTTGAACGATCATTTGACAAGAGAGCGTAATAATTACTTTGGGTATCCGAGAGTCTTATGTTATGTTAGTTTGCGGCTGATTGAAAAAATACGCAAAGACATTG